GAACGCAGGGGCATGTAATATTTGGGTTTTAACTGAGCCGGGAAACCCAGAGGGGGATGCCGACTATATTTAAGATCGTCTGGACGCGATACGTTTGTAACATAACTTCCAGGCATTTTATGTCGGAAGTAAGTCCTTTTAGGATAGAATAGCTTACCTCTCAGGCATGCCGCATGACCTCTTGGACTCCTAGCGTCGAAAAGGCGTGGAAATATGCAGGTAATGTCTACCCACTAATTCCGCCGCCCGGCTCCGGGGTCGGCTAATTGGAGGAGTATTCGGCCTAGTGCGGCCTAGGTCCCAGCGTCCCGCCGCGTACGGGGCCCCGCCGCCGCCGTCGGGAGAGCGGGGCGCGCCGGGGGCCCGGGCCGAGGCCGCCGCCGCCCCCTCCGCCGCCGCCGCCCCGGCGCGGAGCTGGTTTTCCGGGTTCCCCTGGACCGAGCTGGATCCTGCCGCTCGCCAAGGCCGGAAGTGAGTTTCGCACGGTAATTCCGGGCGGTGTCACGAGTGAAAAGTTTTTTTTTTTTTCTCCCGGCGGAGATCCTGGTCGGGGCTGGGAAACTCCTGCAAAACTCGAGACGCGAACGCCAGCCCGCTCCCAGCCCCCGCCGCCGCCGCAGCCGCTCTTCCGACCGCGGGAGGCCGCCCCGCATCCGCTCTCACCGGGAGGAGTTCGGCCGGAGCCCCAGTGACTAATGAAGGGGAGGAAACCATGTCTGGCGGAGCCCTGAGAAAGCTGCCCTGAGACACCGTCCGACCGAAAGGTAATGGGCACGAAGGGTGTCTCCAGGTCCCGCAGCTCCTGGGCGGGGAAGAGAAGAATGCTGCTCCCTTTCCCCAAGTTGTCCTCAGTTCTCCTTTGCTGCTGTCGAGCTGGGTAGTGTTTCAGGTGCTCAAGAGCAGAATCGGCCCCCATCCCACCCCACCCCACCCCCCTCCCCAGCACCATCTGGACTCGAGCTATTTCAGCAGAGGTCGGAAGAATGCGGTGGGACGAAAACTTTCAAGCGATCGGAAGAAAGACCGCCTTTGTTCAGCACTAGGTCCCGAAGTCTTGCTTTTCCGGAGTATATACGGTGTATATATATATAGTTTTTATTTATGAAGTTGCTGAGCCTGGCAACTTTTGCTGTGGGAGAAAGTTAGTTAGGTGGCTGCAGCGAGTGATTTGCTGCTGTTGAGATGGCTGCCGCATTTGTTTATACTGTGACCGAGTATCTGGCCTTTGCGTTTAATCCTATATAGAGATTTTTTTTTTTTAGTTCCAATCTTTAGAACTATGTGAGAAAAGCCATATAAACAAAAACAAAAAAGAGCGATTCTTAGTTGTTTTTCTAGATAGGTAATAATATTTCTTCAGTATCTGGTTCCTTTCAGGCATTTAGAACCTTGTAATAGTCGTTGGGTTAATTAATTGAAAGCAGCGTCTGCTCGATGTTTCTATGTAACTGACTTGGTGGGAAGAAAAAGGAAGGGGTCGTGTTATGGATAAAGAGAGTTAGGATAGAAAACGAACCCCTGTGAGTGGTTGGATTTGTTGGGACTTCTCTGCAGTTGAGAACAGAACACACAGGAAGGGAAGTAGAGCGCTTGAAATGATTTTCATGGGAATCGCACTGACTGGTAAATAGCAGAGTGTTTACATGTTTGTGTTGGTCCTGACGTTGTGGCCCGCTCCACCTCAGTGGCTGGTAAGAGGTGCCCCACTCGGGGGGGCAGGAACTGGGGGAGCGTGGGCGACATTCCACCGGTCAGGGCTGCAAACACTTCGGAGCCAGTCGGCGGCCCTTGGAGGTCCAGCTGGTTCTGGTCGCAGCAAACACAGTGTTTCTCCAGTGGTGTCTTTAAAGTGTGTGTCTCCACCCCCCCCTCGTCCCCGCCCCCCCGTACTTTTGAGGTAAAGGGAGGTGAAAGTTAATACTGTGCTTTTGACTAGTTATTAAATAAATGTGAGATTCTGTGGGTAGGTATATCTTAAGTATAAATTGTTGGGTTTGTCCATGCTTCCCCAAGAAAAATTGTTGGCTTAAGTTCAAAGAAAAGAAAAAGTAGGTCTTAAAGAGCAGGATCAAATTATTTCACAACTTGTTCTTTGTTATTTAGTAAATACATTTCAAAATGGAATTCTTTTAACTGTTTGTTAGTATATATTTTGATTTTTTCCCCTCAGAGCTTAGTCTCTGGAAATCTTTTTTTTTTTTTAGTTGGTAAGATTTGGGAACCACCCAGAAATTCCTGTTCAGTCAAAGTAGCCTTATCAAAGAATTTAAGTGCATAACTGATCTACTTTATGATTTTGGAACATATCATTAGGCAGCGAAAGGTTATTCTTGGGCACCTGAAAGAGCGGAACAAAATAAATGGCATTGAACCTCAGTTTCCTTATATGGCTTATACTTGGCCTCAGAGCAACAAAGCCTTAATGGAGCAAGTCTTTTATAGAGAATTATCACTTTAATTCTCTGCATTAGTAAATTTTACATATAAAAAGTATTGCAGCACTCAAACTTAACTACTTAAATCCCTGTTTTTAGATCTTGTTCTTGAATTTTTTTCTTGAGGGAGCAATATGTTTGCAGAGACACATTTTTTAGAAGCGAGATATTCATCTTTGTAGTTGCCATCAATGCCTCCCTGCCCCTCCCCCTGAAAGGAAAAATTTACTTTGTGGATTACTTACACTTTTGTTAGTTTAACACTGAATTAACTTAATGAATATTAGGCCTTATGTATTGTCACAGTGTAAATATTTTCAAAGCCTTGTTTAAATGTGACAGTGGTTTGTAAAGAAATTTTAAAAAGGTGATAATCAGTTAAAATATCTCTAAATGACTTTAAATTTCGGACATTCTTAGTATTTGTGTGGGTTTTCTCAGGTTAAATTGTCAGATCTAGAGTATTTCCAGTATTTGCTTATATTGCATAAAATGTACATTTAATGGAACTGTTTACTTGAAGGTGCTAGTTTTTAGTAGTGATAAACTTAATCCTTCAAGTAATTAATTCAAGTATTACATTATGAAGTCAGTCTACTGTTTGAGAACAAGCGGTTGCAAACTTTTCATGTATTTTTCTAGCTTACAGAGGATAAAAAATGGAAACCAGCATTTTATTGTAATAACTAGATATTTTACATTTATCATTAGTAAGTCTTCAAAATTCAGCTACTTTAGAGATATTGGTGCTGAGCTCTTGGTAGTAAACAATATCATACTTTAATAAACACACTTTAACTTTTCAGAAAGTTAGATGCATGTATGGCACTTATTTTAAATAATTGCTTATAGATAACCTGATTTAGAGTTCAAGCTATTTTTGGTTTAGAAATAAATAATGGCAATATTTACAGAGTATTTGGGATAATGCAGAATTTTACTGGTTTTGGATGGCAAAGCACTTCTTTATGTAACTGTTACTTATCTAGAATTTTTTTTTAACACATTTCATTGCTTTTCACTCTTTCCCATCCATTTCTGTTACATGCTTTGTTTTTTTCTGGGAACACTGGATAAAAGTCCTAAAGATGTCCTTTTCTGACAACATATTGTTCACAATAGGTTATTCCGTTTTTGAGTGCATACTATTTGATCTTGAATAGAAAATGTGTACATGAATTGTTGCTATGTTATATTTGCTTTTGAATTTTCTAAGGAAATAAGCCCAGCACTTCTGTTTTTTACCTATCTTTGATTTATTCCACATTCTTTTTGTTTTTTTCTTGGTGCCTATCATCACTAATTATTGAATCCTATTACATTCATGTTTTGGTTTACCTTTTAGCTTTCTCCTCTATCTTATATTTTCTAATTGTAAAAAAAAAAAAAATCTAGCTGTTATTCCACTTTCTTTACTAATTCCTTTAGCTTCCTATTTTTAGTTAGCTTCATTTACTTCTCCTATTTTAGCTTCATTTACTTCCCCTATTTTCTCTATATTCAGCTGATGTTTCTTAATTATATTTTGTCCTTCCTCTCTCCTAAACTTTATTAGTCCATGTTTATCACCTAAAAAACCTGTTTAAAACATGAGTAGATAAAGTTTATTTTGTCAGCCCTGTGTAATTCTGAATATCCCTTTTGCATTCCAACTCAGTTTACATACCAATATTTTAATCTGGTATTTATTAATATGTTGTTTTTATTTATACTTTGTTGCCTCAATTCTTTTTTTTCTTTAATATCCCTTAAATTACCTTTGCTAAGATCAGGTTGTTATGTACTATTTTATTAAGACTCTCTACAACCACCTATCCATATTTTATTTGTTTGGCCTCTTAAAACACACAAACTTTTTATCTATGTACCTACCTTCTACATTTTGTTCTTTTTCTCCCTATCTTACCTCTTAAAGTTAGATATCTTCTCTGTAGTGTTCCTAAAATTTTGAAATTGCCTTTCTTTGTCTGTTTTTATGAAATAAGCACAGTGAAATTCTGTCATTCACTTTATTCTTGTCACTTCAAATTTTGTTCCAGGTGTCATTGGATGAAGAAGGCCTTGGCAGGCTTTATAAATAAGTGATAGTATGTAAGACAATAAAAAAGAATATCAAAAAATTAAGTTAATAAAAGAACCTACTTACATGGAGGTTATTTATCTATGACTTTAGGTATAGAATGTAGTAGAAAAACTTGAAAATAAAAAGACATCTAAGAAATCAAAACAGGCAAAATAAAGTCTGAGGACTTCATTCATAAGGCCATCCTTATGTGGAGCCCATTTAATTTTGTATATAGTAAGCTGTTTCCTGCCTTTTTGGTGTACCAGAAGGGGTGAGGAGACAGTTTGACAGCATCATAAAGTTATGGCCTATGGCATTGGTTCTCAACCTTCCTAATGCCGCGACCCTTTAATACAGTTCCTCATGTTGTGGTGACCCCCAACCATAAAATTATTTTCGTTGCTACTTCATAACTAATTTTGCTACTGTTATGAATCGTAATGTAAATATCTGATATGCAGGATGTATTTTCATTGTTACAAATTGAACATAATTAAAGCATAGTGATTAATCACAAAAACAATATGTAATTATATATGTGTTTTCTGATGGTCTTAAGCGACCCCTGTGAAAGGGTCGTTCGACCCCCAAAGGGGTCGCGACCCACAGGTTGAGAACCGCTGGCCTATGGTGTGACAGCAAGGGAATAGAAAAAAGGAAAAAAGACTGAAAACTTCGAAGACAGGGTTGTCTTGGACAACTTGCTTTGGGACAGAGTGCCTTATATATTTCATTTGTCCTTAGAAGGAGACACTCTATTATAGCATAGTATAATTAGAAGTAAATAGCCCTAAGGTCTTGGGATCTCCTTATATTCTAGCAAATTACTTAGAACCCAAAGCTTTGGTTTATGTGGGTTATATTTCCCATATTAGAAATTTTAAAATATTAATTTAAAATAACAATAAACTATGCATAACACTGTCTTAAAAAATAACTATTCTTCAAACCAAATCTTAAGCCAAAAGTGTGGGATTGTTATATATTTCTGCAAGTCCTTTATGTATGGTTGAATAGAAAACAGCTCGACTTGTCATATCCACTTGTACATTCAATCTTGCAGTATGTTTTGGTTGAAATATATGAAGAAAATCCAACATTATACAGATACTGTTTGAAAAGGGGAGGAGTATTTTCATAGCCTTTTTAGGTGATTGAGGGTATTCTTTGATACCATACCAAAAATTTTTTTAAAAATATATTTCATTGATTTTTTACAGAGAGGAAGGGAGAGGGATAGAGAGTTAGAAACCTCAATGAGAGA